ACAAGGGAGCGACTTGGCATCATACTGCAGCAATACTATAGCACGCATCACCGAACATTACAGAGACACGATGACAATGTCCGCTTCCTTGCAACTCGCCTTAAAGAGAAAGGGTGCAAAGTGAAGCAAGAGCCACATTATAGAACATATCAGGGAACAAATTCCGTGACCTTGTCATACACCGAGACCAACAGAGAGTGGTGCTCGATGTGGAAGTGGTCCGAACACGGGTATGATTGTCAATGGCATTCCACGCGAAGATGAACCAAAACTTGCTTCACGACCTCACCATTCAAGTAAACAACTCCACACCTAGTGTGGCTGCTGTCACAACGTCGTACTGTGGAACATGGGCCAAGGAATCCATAGGCACACTCATGGAAATCGGTTTTGGCCGCCACAACACCACGATTATGGTAATGTGGGGCCTACAAGTAGGCTTTAGAAATTTGTTAATGCACCAAAGGGCGACGGCAATGTGACTACGCGAATCGTAATGAGGCTCAATCGTCTGGCCTTAATCGAAAATAGAGATAACTCAGCAGTCAAAGTAACAACGGTTGGGAGCGGGTCCCTCTATTGTCTGAGTGATAATTAAGCACCTCTGAGGACCACCTCCCTCTTTGGATAAGAGCCTAGTGATGATGTTAACAAAATAGCAGTCTTAGCTCGTGTACTGGGGCGACATCGTTGTCATTGCCCCAAGCCTCGACAAGCATTGAAGGCACCTTGCAGTTGTACTTCAAAAACTAAAGTCAGAAATGTGCTGCTTTGCATTGAGGGGCTCTTGTTTTCGGGCCACGTGACTGGAAGGTGTGGAGTTCCTCTCAACCCCCAAAGAACAGCATCCATCGCTTCCGTCCTGCCTCCCACAAGACAAAAAAAGCCATGCGACTGCGCTTGTGCCCCTACTTCTGTCACCTCGCCAAGAAACTTTCGCGGATCGCGGAGCCGCTAACTTGTCTCACGAAAACAGACGGGCACACCAAATGACAACGCAAACAAATCCAAGCATGTCAACAACTGCCATGACGCCTGCACATGTTGCCAGTACTTGCGCACTTCGACCAGTACGCCGACACGGAAATCCACACCAAGGCAAGCAGCGTATGGCAATGGATGTAGCGAAGCCGTCCTACTGCTGAGGACTAACGGATGTGGAAAGGCTATCAGTTATGTTTTCCGGTCATTATCGAAGGCGGAGGCCAACTTTTCTCCATTAAAAGAGTGCCTTGTCAGCATCTGTGCTACGTCCAAGCTTCTCTCCCACCTCTACGACAGGCTTTTCAAAGTTTTGAGCAGCCCCGCCGCGGTGGTCTAGTGGCTAAGGTACTCGGCTGCTGACCCGCAGGTCGTGGGTTCGATTCCCGGCTGCGGCGGCTGCATTTCCGATGGAGGCGGAAATGTTGTAGGCCCGTGTGCTCAGATTTGGGCGCACGTTAAAGAACCCCAGGTGGTCGAAATTTCCGGAGCCCTCCACTACGGCGTCTCTCATAATCATATGGTGGTTTTGGGACGTTAAACCCCACAAATCAATCAAAGTTTTGAGCAACCACCACGCTTAGTGTTGGCTAGCGAACTTGAATGACCCCGCTGGTCGCATCGCAAGGAGTGGAGCCTAGGGCACCAAGGATTCGACATTACCTACGTGTACAAGACCGGACGGAAATACTCCGACACCGACTGTCTGTTTTGTGTCGCCGTCAATGCACCACCGTAAGATGACCAGGACGTTCACTGCTTCCTGGGAACCGTAAGGACCTACGACTTGGTCAAACGGCACCGAGCCGACCTTGATGTGAGGAGGCAGCACCATCGCTGTCGCAAAAGTAGTATAGAAAAGTAACTTTTCTCCGACTCGAGCCAGTTGCCTTATCGCTGGACGCTTGGAAATGTGACGAGACATTTGGGAGGCCCTACACGACGACCCAACAGCTGCTCACCTCGGTTTTTCCCGTCAACTTGCGTGAGGTCGCAAGAAAAGTACGACTGGCCACGTCTTGCCGCCGATGGCGCTCGTTTGATGAGGACATGCTGGGACTTCCAGCAATGCTAGAAAGTGCCGATAATGCCATCGGGTGTTCTGCAACCCATCAAACCACCTCAATGTCGATTCTAGCAAATTGGTATGGCTTTACTAGAGCTGTTGCAACCTCCGACGACAAAGTTGCTGCATTCGCACATGGCTCGATTGGTCAAGACACGTTTTTTTGTTTTTGCCTGATCGACCAACAGGTCCAGAATAAGTTTCCTACCGCATCAAAGCCTCTCATTCGGCTACCGAAGGCGTTTGTCTTCAAAAGTGGCGCTAAAACCTGGGAGCAATCCAACGACGAATCGCATACACGGCAACGAAGGCCGGAAAACCGTCTGATTACCATCTAGACTGGCCAGTCATCCAGTCTGCTAAAACTCAATCGACCGCTCCATTGATTCGCCTGAATGGTACGTTCCCGATGTCGGCTGTCGAAAAAAAGAGGATTGTTGTAGCTACTATCTCCCCCTCTACGCTGAAACAGAGGTGCTGCCCAAAAAAGCGACCCCGAGGTACCAGAGTCCTTTGTTGAGGGCATCGTTCTGTGTCATGGTACCCCAGAGGTACTCATTTCTACCAGAGGCAAGGTATTTACAATGGAGGTAACTCAGGTGACCTTGAGCTACAGCCACACAAGCGACCACCAGGCCACCACCTATTGTTCACAGATCAATGGTCGGTCATTAATTTATGGTAATCGAACATGGCAGTGTAGTGTCCTGCCCGTGTGGCGCTTGTCAGGGTAGCATCCTGTGATATAACCGATTCAGTGTAATAGTTTTATAAAAGAAACGAGACGGGCAGATATATACGTGTGTTAATACATTAAGGAAAGTTTAGGAAAAGCAGTGTCAGGTTGTGCTGGATCAACCGGGGGAGTTCCCCACCATAATAGGCGTATTTTGAAGACCGAAAAAGCACAATACCGATAATAAAGAGAGAAAAGGTAATGAACGAAACTGTAATAAGTACGTGTAACAAACATCTTCTGTGTAGAAAGATTGGTTGGATAGATGGGAGGAGGGTACATTTTATAATGTACGAATATATTCGACTTTTCTTTGTCGGGAGGAGTTCATAAAGAGACCTTGAACAGTTTCATTTAGTGTGTTGTCTTTTAATACAATTAAACTTCAAAGTGGTGATAGAAAATCACCAGGCCATCAGAATGAAAAAAATTCGTGGATTGCAACCTGCCATTGCTGTGATTTATGTACTGAATTATAAGATATTGAATTCAAGATTCCTCCCAATGTTACTCGGTGAGTATGTCTGACCACCACGTCCTCAGGTTGTGATGCGTCTGTACAGATTAGAACATCAAAAGTACAAAAAGTGCTCACAATTATCCCAAGTGCACGTTTGCAGGTGGCATGCCGTGACGTAATTGTGAAAAACTGCGTGAACACTGATGTCAGAGACTATCTCCAATTTGCGGCAGCGGTGGTCAGAAGGAACCACGACGTAATTTACACCATATTTCAATATATTCTTTGGTTTTACATTCCAAAATCACGGAAATGTAATGAGCTACACCATTTATAGTGGAGAGCTCCAAACAGTTTTGACGACCTTGTGTACTCTAAAGTGCGCTGATAATACAGGACTCTAGCATTCCAGTCTTCATAAAGATGTGACAAACGTAGCCGCCATCGAACCTGCAGATCAGAAAAAAGAGCACGGTAACCGCTATACCGTCGCGGCAGGTGACGGCACTGTGCACTTGGCGGGAAAATGATAATTTAAGGTGTGACGCAATACGACAGTACGAAAAGTGAACCAGAAGAGCACTTCACCTTGTGGACAAAAGTTGACGTCAGGACCAGACCTGTCGTAAAGAGTCTTGAGGTAATGCTTACTATATATGTATTGGTTGATCAATATATGGGGTTGAACGTCGCAAAACCACCATACGGTTATGAAAGACGCCGTAGTGGAGGGCACCGGAAATTTAGACAACCCGAGTTTCTTTAACGTGCAACCAAATCTGAGCACACGGGCCTAGAACATTTCTGATTTTGATTGATTGATATGTGGGGTTCAACGTCCCAAAACCACCATATGAATATGAGAGACGCCGTAGTGGAGAGCTCCGGAAATTTTGACCACCTGGGGTTCTTTAACGTGCATCCAAATCTGAGCACACGAGCCTACAACATTTCCGCCTCCATTGGAAATGCAGCCGCCGCAGCCGGGATTCGATCCCGCGACCTGCGGGTCAGCAGCCTTGTACCTTAGCCACCTGGCCACCGCGGCGGGCCTGTCGCACACCGGCCGAAGACATTGTCATCTTATAATTGCTAGAAATGATGTCTCAGGCAGTTATGTAACGAAATTTATAGTTCGAGCACAAAATGCCCTTACGTAGAATATCCCTGTATTAGCGCTGAGTGCTAGCTGTTACCGAATTAATTTACGAGGTGAAGTGAGTACCCGTGAATGATGGTTGCGAAACTGTCGAGAGGCCAGCAAAAAAATGAGCACCAAGAATTTCTTAGTTTGTCCAGAGTGTGCAGAAGTAGCGAGTTTTTGCAGTAAAGCAAATAAAAATACCACCAATCATTTTTTTTTTTATGTAAATTGTGCGGAATAAAAGCCGATGCCATTGACAACGAATGTAGAATTCAGGAACTTATTCGAGTGGAAGATTAAGAAAGAACGTTGGATTGATGATTGATTGATTTGTGGGATTTAACGTCCCCAAACCACTATACGATTATGAGAGACGCCGTATTGGAGGGCTCCGGAAATTTCTACCACCTTGGGTTCTTTAACGTGCACCTAAATCCGAGCACACGGGCCTACACAATTTCCAACTCCATCGGAAATGCAGCCGCCACACTACAGCTGAGATTGGATCCCACGACCTGCGGGTAAGCAGCCCTGTAGCTTAGCCAGAAGACCACCGTGGCGGGGCAAAGAACGTTGGAAGACAAACACAATTCGGCAGAAAGAATAAAAATGATATGGAGCAAGTTCTCGTGTTCTGTTTTATTTTAACAACTAGTGGAATGCACATAATCTATTGAAGAGAAATGTATGAATAAATGCACCTATTAGACTATTGGGGCTTCCAAACCAATGTACGTTCATCCATTTCTCCAGCAACTTTGTCCTTTGGGCTGTCTCGCCTCGATCTTCATCAATCTTAGAGTCTACCTGCTGGGCAATGGTGAATCTGCAAAGAGAAACGAACAACACATCAGAAAACGTTTTGGCTCCTCAAATGCGGTTCGCGCAAAGTTGCAGAACTTGCGTAAATGAACGTGATCACGGAGACAACTTTTTCCATCTTGCGATGGCTTCAAAAGATTAGGTGATACCAAAGCACGGTTCTTTTCCCACAACTCCTTAGCTAAAACTTCACGACACATTTGTAAATAGCATGAACGTAAATGGTACTGAGTAAATTCCAAGAATCGTCATAAACATGCTCGGTTGTAGTTGAACGCACAGGATTTGTTGTTGCACGGCGACTTATTAAAAAGCGAGATGCGGTGGCTTTACGTGGCGTTCCGAGTGATCGGCCGGCATTACGCGGAAAGGTCTGTCTTGAAAACATGCTCCAAATTCGTAGCCTCGACAGAAAGATCGGCAAGTTCGTAACTGCGAATTTTCGCAGTTAAGCACCCAGTGTGGAGCTGCACAATATACCCCGCGAATATCAAGTTGCATAAAGTTCGGGACAAAGAAAAGGCATACACTTACGGCCTTGAATGTGATTCGGTTGTAGCTTCGAATCCAAAACGTAACATGAGCTTGGCGTTTCTTTCGTGGGCGTTTCGTAATTAGCGTTTTTTTTTTCATTTGCTTGTGTCATGCATTCCGAGTCATTTTCCGAAGCATTCTGTTAAGAACGAAAGGTGTTTAAATTAGGTCAAGTAATTCGAGATGCCAGTTACAAGGGAGCCGAATTCAACGTTACCCACTACAGAAGCTATACAACAGACAATGCCTTCAATAGAATGAAGGGTACGATGTGGTTCTGAAAACTACTGGGACCGGTCTGAATGAGCTTGCAGAATATGAATTGATCATGTCTTATCGGAGCTCACCCTACACAGATGAGTGACTGAAGTTTAAGTTTGACCGTGCACTAATCGCTGAAAACGTCGTCTTCAATCTATACCAATGGGGAGGTTTCGGCGTATGCGCTTCGTTATAGCCACAACTGTTCTACGAGAATTAAATGCCCAATGTCTGAACTTCATAGTCCAAAAGAGCGATGCGTTTCACGAGACAAACCACACTGAAGCAAATTACCTAACATTACTTGTAACGTTTATTGTCCAACTCCTAGATGCAAACGCACGGCCATTCTTGTATGTTGCCCCAATGAAATTGCAACAGCAGTCACTGGAAATGGAGCATATCACCTCGTAAGTAGCCTGACAACTGGATAGACAACTGTTTCACTAAGGAAAATCAGTGTTTGAATTGAAGATTGAGGCGTGATATTAAAACAGGAGTAACGAGTGTTACGCTATTAATTGGGTCAGTGTGAACACCGAAAAAAAAAAACTCGAAATAAGCTGCTTCAATGGATAGAATGACTATTACCAGCGATTTGGGGTGGCACACTCCTGTTGAGGGGGTGTGTTCAAAGGCCTACAGGAAGTTGTTTTACTTGAGGAAAAAACTTGAACATGCCCCTAGAGATGTCCAATTACTTTCATATAAGACATTTGTTCGCCCTATTTTGGAGTATGCGTCTTCTGCATGGAATCCTCATCAGCAGTCACTGAGAGATAAAATAGAAAAAATTCAAAGGCTAGCAGTGCGCTTCATTTGATCGCGGTACCGGAGGACAGAATCCGTCACAAATTTGTTAAAATCACGTGCGCTAGTACCCCTGCAAGTGCGCCGCGAAAAGCAAAGGTTAAAACTCCTGTTTCAAATTATAAGAGGCGAAATGAAAATAAATACACATACATACAACCTGCACCCAAACGAGGAGCTCGGTTTAACCATAGTCACCCAATAAGGCCTTTTTAGGCGCGTCTAGATGGCTTTAAAAATTCTTTTTTTTCCGTATAGTACAGAAGTGTGGAATATACTTCCAGAGTACGCTGTTACTAGCGCAAATGTCAAAGCGTTTGAGTGTTCGCTAGAATTGTACTACCGGCGACATGAAACGTAATGTCTGTTTTGTCATTGTGTATTGTTTTTGTTTTTTGTTCATATTCCTCCCTGTAATGACTCTCAAGTGAGGGTTACAGTATTAATAAAGAAAATAAATAAAAATAAAAAAATGTGAAACTTTTTTTTCTTTCACAAAGTAAATATTTATTTACCGATGTTCTTTATTACAAAAACAAACACAAATCACGGCTCATTCGGTCATGACTACTGCACGTTCATCTTCCAAATTTCTCTCTCCTTGTAGAGTAGCTCGCTTTCCCCCGTGCTGCGTTGATGATTGGCCTGCAATAGATGAGCCATATAAATGCTGGGTCACCGATCACCGTAAAGCAATGCACTGTTTTCACACCTTAAACACGTGAATTTTATCGTGCTCTGAATGGGTGATTTACGAACTTGCCTGAGTAAGTATCTTTAAGCATTCGGGCAGGTTTGCAGTTGGCCATCCAGGGACTTCAACACACAATGCTTCATAAAACCAAGCAATACTATATGCAGTGAAATGAGAGTAAGAAAGAGAGAAAAAGAGAGAAAAGAAACTGAAAGGAAGGGAGGTCACCCTGACGCACGTCTAGTTTTGTACACTACTGCAAAAGGAGAAAGCTCACAGAACTGGGGCAGTACCTAAAGCAAGGGACAGCCTAGGTAATGGCCGATCACCTAGGATGGGTTGCGCTAAAGTGCACCTAGAAACCAACCCAAGAATCTCGCATGAGCGCCGTGAACTCTTATGCCAAGCTCCTTGTATGGGAGCTCACTGATCTTGCAGACTGGTTTCCCGCATTGCATTTTCAACAACGTCTGCCTCAGTTTTCGCCGGGGTCCCCGTGATGAAGTGATCGAAGTTGTTTTCATTGATAACCTCGTGCCCGACTCTCGTGCTCAAGGTTCACCATGACTTGGTGCGCAGTACAGTGACCACAACTGCACCTTCAATTCTTTGTCGACTGCAAAGCCTAGTAGGAGACGGACTAATCTTCGCTTGTAGAAGATTTCACAATTTTCTGTTGCACAGTAATAGTCCATCATCGAGAAACTCATCACGGGCAATGCAAGTGGCTGCCCTATAATATTTTGGGTAATATAGTCCTTGTGTTGACTACCGCAGACACAATGCCAATATTTTCCCTGTTACTTAAATTACAAATAATCAAAGCATTCTACCGTCAAACTCTTCTCTAGGAACTCAAAGCAAAAGCAACCTAGACATTGTCTACTGCCTTTTCAATCCCGAAAATTGTACTCAAATATACAGCCCCCCATGCCACACCATTTAAGCCCTTCATGAGCTTGAGCGTGTCCTCCACACTGAGTAACGGGGATCATATGTTGCAGCGATTTATAAGCCGATTTATCGTAAGCTCGATTTTCTTCGTATGCAAGTATGCATGACTTTCTGACTGAAATATGGCCTTTTAACCGTGATGACGATGATGTGTGGTGCTTCATGGCACGAAAGCGATCAAATGGCCAAAGAGCACTAGGAGATTGGACAACCTGCTTTCCAGTGGGGCATGTTATTTCCATGGCTATAGTCTTTAACATATCCACGTGCATACTTGCTTTTGATGGCAGCTACTGGGTCACGGGAAAATAATTCACTCCATTCGCAATGCAAAGTGTGAGATTTCACAGTCTTCACATGCTCACCGTCTACACTAATGTTGCGGGAGTGTTGTGGTCTTTAATCTCTCCCTATCCTGCTTTTGGGGGCTAGCTTTTAAAAGAGAAGGTTGTGTTGTGTTCGCAAAAAAAAAAACGGTCCACACCTTTGCTCATTAGCCACGCTAATCCTTGGAGAGAATCCACACAGGCATCGCGCCGAGTTTACAAATGTACCACATGCCCAAGTTCGAAAACCATATGCGTAGCGTGATGCACAGTTTTCCACCCAAATTGAATTTATGAACGCAAGGTTGACACAAGCTATTGAAAGCCAAGCATAGCTGCAAAAGTGTCATTTTCGGCATCTTCGACATGTTTGGAACGGTTTTGTGTATGATTAAGAGAAGGTGTGGTGCTACAGTTCACGCTTTATGCAGTATATTTCAGGCCCATGTCGCTCGCTCTGATGTCCTTGTCCTTCTCACAAGGCATGATTGCACCTTTCGGCTGGCTATGCACTCATAATGGTGTCTGTGTATCTAGGCACATATTAACGAAAATTTGTGTCGTTGAGGCCAGCTTGCAGTCTCTGCGATACAGCCTCTTCCTTTCACGATTCCTTTCACTTCCTTTCACGATTAAGTGAGTGATGCAACATTCATGAATTCAACAAGGATTTCTTTCTTCTGAACTTCCATTTCATTGGTCCTCTTGGCCCTCCAATAATAACAGTGTACGATGCACACTCAGTAGGGACGTTTCGTATACGCGTTTGCCCGATCATTGTAAGCTAAAGAAGCAAGCTGCCATTTCTCTGGCTTACACTTTATAAATGGCTAATTTGAACTTCGCCATTCAAGCATCGATGCAGTGTAAAAACTGCTTGAGTTGATAGCCTCGCTGTACGACACGCCTAGGCGGCCCAGGTGAAATGCCAACTACCGGTATCAGCAGCGTGCATCATAAGCGCATGGCTGCTTTTGTGTCAGGGATGTGAACACCACCTCAGTAGAGGAGCTCCCTTTATGTTTCTCAATATTTCTTCTGTAATACTAAAGATTATTGATTACACGGCTGTAGACATGCTTCAAGTAGAACTTCTTGAGAACATGATCAATAAGTCCCCATTCCCTCCTAAATGCCAGAACGATGTGTGGTAGTTCTGCTTTTGCAGTGATTAGGCTGGCTCCTGCACGGACATTACGTACCTAAAGTCTTCGTGGGCAAGTGTAACTTAGCAACGTCAAGAGACGGTGTCGTTCATCGGGGTAGTAATCAGCCGGCCATTGTAGGAGCTTATGAAGGCTCGTTCACTGACCACCAGTACGGATGGCTTGCATCACTACTGTCAACGAATGCTGTGTGATGCGGCGGCGGCATTTGGTAGCGTGAAGATATGTTAGTGTCCATTGCCACGCTCTTACTATTATCGCATTGTAACTACGGCCACACATATTCGCACCGAACCATCACTTCGCAAACGTGCTTACCAGTGGCACCTCTATAAACTGTCGAGTGGTTCAGCTCTTTCACAATAATCTTTTGGGGTCTTATATCACAAAACCACAATAGAGTGATGAGACGTGTTCTAGTTGAGGGCTCTAAAAGCCTCAGTGCTCTTCAAAGTGCCCCTAATTCTAGATACACTGCCTTCGAGCATTTCAATGCCGTCGTAAATATGGCCGCCGTAGCCAGGATTTCTTCTCGCTAACCTCCGGTCGGGAGTCTCAACGCCTAAACCACCCTGGTGGATTGCTTCATGTCTTCATTTAGATCTGAATATATATGGGCGGCTACTGCATTTTTTTACTTCGTCTTCAATTCCAGTTTCAATTGCACTTAGCCTGCATCACTGAAGTAGCCACGACTATTAGTTGACCAGCTGTAGACTTGTGGTTTCCACATTTTTCTTTGGCTGAATGAGTGTTGTGTTCCGCTTCAGCCGTCTTGCAGCATAAAAACTACACGTGGTCGTTGCTCTTGTGTCATGCTCAATATCTTCAACATACATCTGCTGTAGCGTTTTGGTCTCCCGGATTCATCCACTCCTAACCACGCATCCCTGCCCCTAAATTTCTTACCCTCTATGGCACTACTACGGTAACTGCACTTGTCTATTCCCCCTTCAAAATGCTAAAGGCCTAAGACAAAGCAGTGAAGTGGGAATGAAAGATGTGAGAAAACTCATGGTCAGTGGAAAAGAAGCTGTAGGATTGTTGATCAACGGTACACAGTCCAGTTTTCTTGTTTGGTGGAAAATGCCTGCGAAGAAAGAAAATGTACAAAAACGGGATGGAAATTTCAAAAACCATTCCTTGTAGCGGATAAATGTCTCAAAAGGGACAACGTAATACACGACAATGAATGGTGTAGGACATACTACAGCAACTTATGTGTTATGGTCGTTTCAGTGCCATAACAACGTTCCTTACGAACTCAAAAAGCAGCCATTTTCAGATATGGACGAATATGGAATTAGCTTTTAGTGCAATGTCAGTGCCCCATTCACCACAAAGTCTTGTTCAGTGGTGAAGGAAATCGTCGCTTTGGGCATACGTGCTTCGATGATCTCAACTGCTGGGATGCGTCCAATCGCCAATAAAAATTTAATTCTGGTCATTTGCGTGCAACAACCACAATGAAATTAGACGTGGCTCGTTTTGGTTGGCTCAAGATTGAGTTTGTCTACTCGGTATTACTTAAAATGCACATATTTATAGTCCACTGTGTGGCCTGGCATGTTGTCCCCATCAAAGCATGGATGCCTAAAACACGATTCGAACCGGTGTCCTCAGCAGCGCTTAACGTTACCTGTTTAGTTAGCATGGCAGGGGAAAAGCACTATAGCTAGAAAAACCGGCACATATACATCGCAAAGTTTGCTGATTGGTTACTCTGTACGCGGTACCCACGCCAGTCAAGTTTAAGGTTGGCCAAACAAAAATACATAGCGACTAAACCCCGACATCGAAGGACATACATGATACAGATGGTATTCTGTCGGCATCGTGGAAAGGTCTTACGACTTCGGAAAACACGTAATTGCTAGGTTTTACTAGAGCTAATAGTGCTTCTGGAGTCATTCAGACTCCAGTTTCACTTGGAAGGTGCAACAATCGATATAAGCCCCGTTCTTTAGTTGCCACACGAAGGGCACGCTATAGGTGGCTTTTGTGTTCAGCGGTGTGTTGCCATATTCGTCCTTTGTTAAATCAGGTCTTTATATTATCTCTCACCGGAGTTGACACTCATAGTGAAAGTATAGTGACTCAGGTGCACAATTTAGTAGTTTTTCTGCACCATATGCGTTTATTGAAGAATGTAACTCAAAAAGGCGAGCACTGTCTCTTATCAAAGTTCAGGGTGCAACAAGTGAAACAGAAGTAACAAAGTTTTAGTGAGTTGCTATAAAAAAGCCCGAAACAAGCAGTTCTGACGTAAAAAAAACAGAAAAGCAGTTGGCAACCTAATAACCACCCATATTTATTACATATATGAGTTTTATTTTAAAGCTCACCAATGCTTATCCGATCATATCCGCTGCCCATTTCTCCATAGGTTTCCTGTTTTCATGATGTTTTGCTTCCATGCCAGTAGCGTCGAGGATCGATATGTAATCGGCAGGTCTAAAAAAGTTTAGGATGACAAGAGATTTCATTCTAGCTTCATTCATTCACATATTCCACGTTTACTTCTGACCTGAAAAACTTGCCTGGAATATTTTCGTAGAAATAGGTATGTCCCAGATTCAGCTTTTGACTGAAGAGTCCAACAGATGATACGACAGGCAAAGCAGGTGATATCCATGCAGCGAAATGGCGGACAGAAAGATAGTAGGCGAACTAGAAAAGAAAAAGCGGGAAAGTTAAACGGACACATGGCTGGCTTTTCTACCCTTGAAATAAAAGAGAGACAAAGCAGAACAAAACAACAATTTACATGAGTAAACACGCCAGTGCTGTTGCTCCTCTTGTAAGAGTGGTTCAGCTGAAACGCAGCGTTCGCGGTTCTGTAGCACTGATGTGCTCTTGAAACTTCAAAGATTTAGTGGAAATGTGTCCAAGGAAAAGAAAAAAAAATGTAGTGTCCGGTGGTGTCAGCGCTAATGACACCACAAATCTGGTGAACTGATCTCGGAGGTATGCAATGCAGGGTGAAGTGCAGAGCGCGTCAAAAAAAAAAGGACAGTGGGGGGGGGGGGAGGGGGCGTTGAGGGGGTGCGGACCTAATGCAGTCAAAAGACCCGTACGTATGAACACACTTACTATGTATGTGTGCGTGCGTGCGATGAATGCGTGGGATGAATGCATGCGATGAATATGCGTCTGAATGCGCCAGTGCGGGCTTGTATTCGCGTGTTTGTACGTTTAGCTGTTTATTCAGGAACAACGAGGAATAATTTTTTCAATGAGTCCGAATACGGCCCCCCTACATCTCTGGCAACGCCAGTGCATCTACGTTGAAGAAACAATGAAAGCTCGAGTGCTTGAAGAATGCTCTACTCGAAGGTCGTCATTCACATGACTTGAATTCGTAGGGTTCTTCAATTTTCAGGCCTATAGCAGCTCCCCGGCAGCCAGAGCTAGCCAGAGGCTCGGCCAGCTAGTTCTTGTCGGAACAGAATACAGCGGGACATAAAACAGCCTAACAAATACATGTGGCATTCAGTACATGCAACATTCACTGCACAACACGACCCAATATATCGCGAAAATGATCATGTCCCAGAAAGAGGTCGAGGATATACCTTCTCAGCTATCGCGTAGTATACGTCGCAAACACGTGTTGACCAGCTTACATTTAAGTCTCAACTTCCAACATGTGGGGACATCCGTACGACGATTGCACGTGGCATCGAAAACAAACCTACGCATTACGCCCTTTTGACTAGTTTTGGCAGTTTGCCTGGACTTCTTTTCCAGTCCTGAGTGGCACTTCAAAAATATCATGTATATCAGGTTTGATTTGAGCTACTACAGGCCATACTCGTACATACGGCACAGCATTAAGGTGAAAAAATACAAAGCAAACGATAAAATATGCAACGGAAAAATGTATACATTTGGTAATCTATCTCTGTTTTTTCTTCTTCTGTCAACGCGTAGTAGCGTAACATAATACTATACCTCGTATGCTGGCCCATAGATCGCAGTATGGTCACCCGCCGTCCGCGACCATCATATACTTAAAAACTTGCGATCTTTCTTGTTCAATCGGGGCATCCCACCACTATCAAAGACGGATTAGTCAAGTGTTTAAGCGGTTCACCCACGTCACGCAGGATTAGAAACTTTTTAAATCCTCCTTTACTCATGCCAACATACGACGGAGCGAGATAGTTCGACCAAAGTCATCTTCGTTAAGTGCGCCAAGAAGGCAGTGCACCGCAAACGACCACGGCGAAAAAAAAAAGGAACCCGAAAGTCGTCATGCGGGCGTGCAAACGTGCGGGTAACTTTTGAGCCATGTGCGCAGTGCAGCTTGCATATGGCCAACAGTTCGCCGCGTTGTTCCCGGATGAAAGTTTCACGGGAAATGTAACTAAATCGATAAACAGTAGCTTCAAACGCTCGCTGCCACTCGTAATCGCCCCATCTTTCAGGGCGAAACAGGTTTTAGAAGATAACGCCAAGCGACAAGACAAGCGAAGGCGCAGTCTCCAAGCGCCCGCCTTGCAATCCTCCGAGTCTTCAAAAAGATGGCGGCTAACGCATATCGTATCTTTTCGGCGTCTTCTAGGACAAAACATGCCTAAAAACTTGCAGAGAGCTTCCACGACCGAATTGTCCTGGAAGCGTATGGTGACCCTCGGGCTTGCAGCGGGTACGGTGGTAATTTTTCTCGAATACGCGTAACAAGAACAGCTGCCATTGTTTGAATATCTAGTTGAGAAAAGGTGTTGTGCCGCCGGCCCTGACTCTTACGCAAGAAGCCGGCCGCCCTCCGGCGTAATCGCCTTCAAGTGGAATTGGTTGTAATCTCTCTGCCAGTTGCACGTCACTAATGACCGGTTGTTTTGCTCACCTCAAAGTGACGCGTGCAGAAGCTGTAGTTGCTGACGCTCCAGCTTGAACGCGCCGCAAGCAGCCGCCGCAGAGCACGCAGCGCACACGCTCGCGTGTTCCCCCTTTCATAAAATGTGAGATCGTACGCTAACGTGAAGCATTCTGTACGGTATTTTACAACTGCCTAAGGAAGGATGAGCAGTGGTAACAAAATCTAACGCAAAGGTGTGCGTACACAACTCGAAGAGTGCCTGTTACGATGGTAGGCTTCGTAGCAGACTGTCTACAATAGCGTATGCGGGGTTAGGGTTGATAAAATTGGAAACGCCAGTTTCGCAAGCTAATGTGGGTTCAGAAGAGCACCACGTAGCACGCATGTTCAGTGGGGCAAGCGCTAATGCAAAGTATCGATCTTGTTTTAAAAGTGTATGCTATCACAATTTCGCGACTAAGGAGAGACCAAGACATAATAGCAACAACCACAAACTGCTCATGTTGCCACATCCAGAGCTGCGGATTGTGCTCGGTCACTGATACGCCCAAGCGAACGACTTCCCGAAAACACACACACGTCCTATAAAAGCGCGCTATGAGCATGCGGCGGACAGGTTTTATATTTGGTTGTGAAGCCGTGGTAGCGTAATCAATGCGACGTACAGGCCACTTGCGTCATGCACTCTGGGCATAGGATTGATTGATATACATGTGTGGTGTAACGTCCCGAAACCACGATGTGATTATGAGAGACGTCGTAGTGGAGGGCTCCTGAAAGTTCGAACACCTGGAGTTCTACAACGTGCACCCGAATCCGAGCACGCACCCCGTGACAGCATTTTCGCCTCCATCGGAAATGCAGCTGCCGCAGCCGGGCTTTGATCTTGCAACCTGCGGGTCCCCTGCGGACATCGGAGTAACCCTTAAAAAGTACCGAGACAAAACAAAACGGGCCGTGTGAATATAACCTTAAAAACGCAAAACTCTTGATAATGTCAAGCCCAAAGCTGTTTTGTTTTTGTTTTTTGGTCCTCAAATTTTTAAGCTCAAATATAAAAAAATATTATAACGTGGCAAACATACTGTATTCAAAACCCGGAGGCAGGAACACTGAAATAGCGTTTGATTTAAAACTCTAGCGGCCGTCAAAACGAACCGAAAGGCTACACCGATAAACAAAAAGAGCGCCGGTGTGAGGCCACTAGCACCACTTTCTCGCGATCTTTCGACATAATTTCTACGATGCCAAACATAGCGCACAAGGCAATGAGACGGAAGCGTGGAGCTGTACTCACGGACCATTTCCCATGCGAGACGAACGAAGAGACTCCTACGTATATGGCGAAGTCTCGTAGCAATGCGTCGTAACGTCGAGGCTTAGGAAGTCTTTTTTTCTTTGGCGGGCAGTGCGTAGCGTCAGCGCCCGCTCGCAAACTCGTACTAGGCGTCGGCGCTACGTTTCTGCAGGTTCGCAACATAGTTCACCTTCACTGCGCCTGCGCGAACATCTGATAACTGACGAAAGTACGACATACACGTAATCTGGCGGCGAACACAAGTTTAGATAATCCCAACACCGAAAAGTTTTCGATGCGCGAAGCGACGGCTGAGATAGCGGGCAGCAAGAAATAGTAGGTGGACCGCGCTTATCAGATCTTGATCTCGACATGCCGAAATAATGAAACTGCGTCGCTGCCCAGCGCTGCTTTTTTTTTTCTCTGTTTTATCTCGAGAATGTGCCCGTTGTCTGGGTCGTCGAAGGCGAGTTACCGTATTTCTACGGTTCTGACGCGTACTTCTTTTCTCTCTTAGCTTCAATGTTGTGTGCGCATTACTTTCGCCCTCGACAGTGCTATCGCCATCAAATTTTTTTTTTGTTAGATGTGCAGCAGCTTAGGATCAAGCTGATTCCGGTGTGTGGCGTGAACACCCTTACTGCGCATGCGTGTCAAATCTCCCTCTCTCTTCCCTCTTAGGCCACCTCCTCTGTTGCCTCGCAACGTCAACGCAGGGAGCGGCTGCTAACCTACGCTCGCGCTCCGTTCTGTCTCAGCTAGGCGTTCCTTTCCACGGCGTTTACACCACCACTGCGCATTCGCGTCCCCTCTCCGTCTCTCTTCCCTCTCGCCTCGCAACGCCGACGCAGGCAGTATTTGCGAGCGAGCTTACCAACAAAAAAAAAAGAAGAAACTGACTACTCGCGCTGTACAACAGTTCGCTGGCCACCTTGCGTTTAAAGGCACTCGATGTTGACTTCCAAAGTAGTGCCAGTGTGATATCCTATGCGTTGCTGAACAATTGGAAGCTTTAGATTAACGTTTCGCCCTCTAGGGAACAGTGTAGAAACTTTACCTGCCCCGCAAATTTTAGCTGCCCCACTACATCGGATTTTTTTGCAGGCGGGCTATGAACGCGAACTGCGGCTCGAGTTACGAAGCATGCGCAGTGGCAGCGACCACACCACAAGGGCTCGCGGTGCTCTGTTCTAAAACTCCCCAATAAACATTCGCAGCGTTCGAAGTCATTTGTCTCTCGTTGCTGAGTAGCAGTGATTGGCACGTTCGAGTAGGAAAGACTGGTCTATCACTGCATGCTTTGCGCCTTCCCAGGTTTGCGCAAT